TAAGTAAAATTGTGAGATTAATTTTAAAATGTTTTATCTATCAATATATCATAAAACCTAATGAATTATGACTGATTTGAGAAGTAAAGTTATTGTATAGAGACACTGAACACGAAAATTTTGCAGCACATTTCAGAAAAAAAAGAAATAACTGGCGCTTTCTAAGTTTAGTCCTCCTTTGCTCCCTAGGTCCTCATGACTTCCCTGCCCCATGCTATTAGAAGAGGCCCTGGGACTAGCTCTGGCCAATGAAATCTAGGTAGAGGTGCTATGCATCACTTCCAGTCTAGAAAAGAACATGAGAGTTCCACTCTGCCCTTCCCTGTCATGGAAAACCCTGAAACCACCTATTGATACGGTGGTGCCACAGATGGCAATACCACAGATGGTGGCGCTTCCCACAACCGACATCCCTGAGTGACCATGTGGAATAGAAGAGGCTTCTCCTCATCAACCAGCACTAAACATAGGACATGAATAAGAATACAAGTTGGTTGTGCTAAGCCATTGAGATTTCAGGGTTAATTTCAGCAGGTCCTAGCCTATGCTAGCAGAGTTCCTATACCTTACTCATTATTAGCAAGTTGTTTCTAAATTTCTTTAAGCTCTGTTTAACTTTTTTCTATGTAAAGTAAGCTGACATAAACCCAAGGTAGTTATCCTCTTTTTTAAACACTTTAGTTAAAAAAGTGTTTTATTAGGAAAGACATTGCTACTCTACTGAGGATGATCAACCAAAGGAAAATGAAAATGTCTGGCAACAACAACAACAACAACAAAACCTTTTGCTCCCTGAATAACCATATTTCTTCTCTCCCGGTTTTCCTTACATTCTACAAACAATAAATGCAGAAATTTTTCTGGGAACATGTCCTACTAATTTGTGTGAATAACCTAAAAGTTGTATTCTCCCCCTTAGAAAGTTATGCTTGTATTTTTGAACCAAAATGTAAGAAAACACAAATATTATTAATCCAAATAAAATTATAGCTCAGATGTTAACCTACTCTCCCCATTTCTGTTCACATTGCTATGTTTTGTGCAAAAAAAAAAAAAATTACAAGTGTTCAAGAAGAAAACATATGTGGTCATTTATTTCTTCATTGCCAACACACAAGATTTTAACACACAGCTATTTTTAAATAAGCCAAGAAATCCTTGGAGTCCAAGTCATCCCTCTATGAGAGGTATGAAACTTGGCCCCATACATTTTTGCTCTGGAAAAGTTCATTGGCACCCTGAATCACTCAGTAACATAAATCAGAATGAAGCAGGTCTCAGAACATAACTTTTCAAAGGCATAGGAAAATTATAACCTTGCGTTCAAAATGCATTCACATAAAACTTCACAAAATTCAGTCTTAGGAATATGTTAAAATAATTAGACAAACATTCTATACTTAAAAATACTGTGAAGAACTCAAAATAGTCACAGGGCCAGAAATGTAGGCATGTGGGTGGAAAACTAAATATGAACTCTTTGCTCCTGCTGCATAAACTAGGACTAAGAGCCATCAGTGACTAGATGAGCACTATTCTTTCATGAGAGCTTCATGGCAGTAGTAAAGATGAAAACTGTTACTATGTTTTTGCATCACATTGGAGGACAACCTAATAGCTGGTTCTCTTATGTAAGCAACTGGCTTTACCAGAAAAATACTATAACAAGTCGCTTTGTCACAAAACATGAGATCCAGAAGGGTGTGAATGTGTGCAGAAAGTACGGACCAGGCCAGCAGGTGATGTGTTGATTAGGGTGCTGGATTATCACATAGCAGATCATGGTTTGAGTCCTGGACCTGGCAGCTTGAGAATCATGCCGGGCACATGTTCATGCATACTCAAAATCTCTAGAGTAGAACCAATTGCGACATGACCATGCCCCCAAAGGGTGTTTCTCACTTTACCTCTCTCTCAGTCTTTCTCCAGCAAATACATGCTCCTTAAGGTGAAAAAGAAAGAAAGAAAGAAAGAAAGAAAGAAAGAAAGAAAGAAAGAAAGAAAGAAAGAAAGAAAGAAAGAAAGAAAGGAAGAAAGAAAGAAAGAAAGTAAGAAAGAACTCCCTTAAGGAAAATGATAGGAAGATAGTAGAGTCCAGAAGATGGGGAAAAAGCAGTGTCATAGAAGTGACCCCCACCACTTAACCCCAGTATTGGTTTACATAGAAAGCAGTGAAGAGTCTGAGTTTTGCCTTCATGTTGACTTCTGGTGGAACCAACACAGTAGGTGTAAGGACACCCAAAGAAATGAATTAAGTTGTTAGGAAGTCAAAGAAGTCATTGTGGGATGCACTCTAAGGACACGAAATTTGAAAAATAAATACCAAAGGTATAAAAATCTCCAAGAGACACAGACGAGTTGGCTGATAACATCAGGGCAGGTCCCATAGCCTAGTGTTTAAGGGATCCAGATCCTACATGGCCAACCGCACTTCAAACATCAGCCCCAACTGCTTAAAAACACCAGGTGCATGTGTACGTGTGACCAAAATTCCAACAGGATGAATGGAGAAGAGATTGTGCCATGACCACACCCCATGAGGGAGTACTTTCTCCTCTATGTCTCTCTGGTGATCACACACACCTCCTGGCAAATAATTTTTTCAAAAGGTAATACTATAATTTATCACTGTCATAACTAACATTTTCTAAGTACCTAATTATATACCAGGTTTTGTCCTAAAAGCTATATTAAAACATATCCTACTAACTCATTAATCCTTGCACCCACTTTAGGAAATGCTATTACTGTCTCCATGTCAGTGAGAAACATAGAAGGTAAGTAGCATGCCAAGCCACGTAGCCAGTAAGTGTGGTAGAAGCGAGATTCAAACCCAAGTCATCTGAAGTCAGACCCTGCCCTTACATTCTTATTCTAAGGTCTCTGACTTTGTTCAAGGAATGAGTTTCCATAATACTTAGCAAGGTTAAAATATCAAATCTGGCCTTTAGTGGCTGAGCTGGGTATCATCTGACATACAAAACATAAAATTCTGCATTGCAAGAGGCTATATAGCACTCATCTAATCCAATCTTCTAATAATACAAAGTTCTCTTGTATCACACCTTTTTCTGGTAATGAGCCAGGCTCTTACTAGGTATCTTTCATGAAGGGGAGGCCCTTAATCTGAGAGTTAGAAGAGTTTTCTAGAAAAAGTACTTGACAACTTTTAAAGATAGTGAAATTACCCATTTTTGTCAATACCTTAGGGTAACCAGTTTTGTAAACATCAATGAAAAGCATGATTATGAAAAGTATTACTTAAACTCAATAAAACATCATGTTTTATGGTAAATTAAGCATTCTTACCATAGAAGATGACCTCATCAATAATTGTATCTTTTGTACAAATGTTGAAACAATAGAAATGTATGTCTTTGAAGAATAGCTAGGGTAAGCACCAAACTCAATTCTTATGTCAGTGAATTTGGCAGCCAGGACAATGGGTTTTAGAAACTACAGATGGAGGGACCAGCAGGTGGTGTGATGGATAAGGGCGCTGGATTCCCACATGGCCAACCATGGTTCGAGTCCCAGACCTGGTGGCTTGCTTTCTCACTTTCCCTTTCTCTCTCTCTCTCTCTCTCTCTCTCTCTCTATCTCTATCTCTCTATCTCTCTCTCTCTCTCGTCAAGTAAAAAAAAAGAAACTAACAATAACAAATGGAAATAAATGAATAAATTATATAAAAAAAAGAAACTATAGATGGAAAAAGGAAAGAACAGTGGTCACCAAACAACATAGTGATTACTGTATCATGAGTAACAGCATTTTAAAAGCAGCTGCAATGTAATTCAAAGTGGTAGAATATGTACTAGGGAGAATAGTTGTCATTGTTATTTATTATTATTATTATTATTATTATTATTATGACTCATAGTAAAATAAGAGCATTTAAATTAGTATAATAACGCTTTCTGAAAAATTACCACAATATCATTTATAACCATAGAGTCACAAAACACAAAAGAAGTTTCCTTCACAAACAACTGTGAAAAGAATGCTTCCTTTCAATTTCCCAGAAAGTTAAGAACTGTTTTATCATTAGGGGGAAAAAAAGGAAAGAAAAGAAATTTAAATAAAAGAATAGATGTCCCAGTGAGGAGCTAAGATATATAATTCTTTTAAATTCATTTTTTAATAGAAAATTAAACAAATAATAAGAATTGCATACCCACAGAACTCTAGTCTTGCTGGATCATTAAGGATAAATTTTAGAGGCAGAAATATCTTAACATTGTTTAAATTATTACATTATAATTATTAAATATAAATATTTTCCTTTAATTACAAACAAATTTAGATCCATAAATGCCCCATATCTAGAGCATTCAATTTGGGCATCTAACTATACAGCTGCTTATAAAATAGATTCTTGGGCCAGCCTGTGGCCTGGTGCTTATGTGAGCTGGGTCCCACATACTCAACTGTACTGTTAGAATCCCAAACTCAGTGACTTGAGAAACACACTGAGCATGTGTGCATATGTGCCCAAAATCCTGACAGGATGGAGAGACAGATGAAGAGAGGTTACTAGGTGACCTATTCCTATTGGGAGTGTAGAAAGGGGTTCTCGTTTTCCTTTTTTCTCTCTCTGGTGAATGCATGTGCCCTCTGACAAATTAAAAAAATAAAAATTAAAAAAAGGGCTTCACATAATTCATAGATCTATGGTACATTGATAGCTATGGCATGTTCTTCACCCTGAGTGAGGCAAGATAGATCAATTCATAAATAAATAATTGGTTTACTAAACAACTCTCCCACTGAAAAACAATGAACACCAAAAATTCATTTTCATAGATAATCAGGAGGTCCAGATACAGCTAGTAATTTTTCATTACTATTAACTTTCTCTGCATAAATGCTAGCATAGAGACAAGCATATTTAGGCTGTTCTATTTGGATTCATAAGTTAGAACAAAGTGGACCACAGGTCCTTGAGGTCACAAATATCACTAAGAGAAAGAACTGGTTTCAAAATGTGTTTAATTACATACCAAAAATTTATGAACTTCCTCGATTCTGTTTGATTGCCTCTGACCTATACAAGAAAAAGACAAGAAATGGTTTCATTATATTTATACCTTGACTCAGTGACTAGAAAAAATTAAAATCCTACCACATCAACTGCCACAAGAGATGTCAATATAGTAAGATGGGGACTACAGAGTGGTATTTGTATCAAGGGGCACCACCCTTTTGAGTAGATTAATGTCAACTTGTGGCAGAAAGTGAGTTCTCATGATCACGAAAACAGTTCATTTTCCATGAGAGTTGTTTGTCGCAAAAGTAAGATGGCCACACACAGCTCTCTCTCTCTCTCTCTCTCTCTCCAACAGCCCTGCCAACCTTTCTGCTTTTCTCTGTCATGCTGTGATGTCAGCACCATGACGTTGGACTTTCCAACCACCAGAATCATAAGCCAAATAAACCTCTATTTCTTATAAATCTCTCAGTCTCAAGATATTTGTTTAGCAAAACAGTAATGGACTAAGACAAGTATCATAACTATCCAGCATCTCTTCCAAAAAATAAGACAGAAGTTCTATCTCATAAGAAAGAAGACTTGGCTAACAAATCATTGTGAAATTATTAACTCAGATATCCCGAATTAAATATTTTTCTAACAGATAAAGTTAAAAGAATGTCTTTACCCTTTTAATATCCCCCAAGTAGTACTTTGAAGTAGCCTGAAAGCTATGCATGAAGATTCAGAATTTATGTCTGTTTTTCTAGAATCTTACCAGTGGGAAAATATTTTAAACTAGTAATAATAATCCCACTTATTACCTTAAAATGTACGTTTTTTAAAAAACAGATTTTTTAACTTATCTATTTGTACCTCTCAGTAAAATAAGAAACATGACCTACAAAACACATATTGCAAGGTCTATTTTTTAATAACTGAATTGATTTGAGAATTTGGTTTTCTAACTTTTAAATTTTTTTCCAGCTTTTATTTTAAAAAATATTTATAACTACAAAAAGTTGTAGGAATAGTTAACAATGAACAGCTAGAGATATCTTAACTTCAATTCCCAAATTATTAACATTTTGACACATTTACTTTATCTCTGTCTATATAAATATTTTACCAAGCCATCTGACAGTTACTTCTGAACATAAAGACATTTTACATACTTCAACATGTACCTCCTAATAAAAATTATCATCCCAGGGGACCAACAAGTGAAGTGATGACTAAGGCACTGGATATTCCCACATGGATGACCACGGTTTGAGTCCGAGACCTGCTAGTTTGCTTTCTCTCTCTCTCTTTCTCTCTTTCTCTCTCTGCATATGTGGTCAAATTAAAGTAAACAAATGAATACATAAAGTTAAAGTAAACAATTATCATCCCATAGTTACATGATCACATTCAGAAAGTTTTAGATATAATGCAATCATCTAAAATACAGTTGAGATCTCTGTATAAATGTTTTTCAGTCTGGGAACTTACTGCATTTTATTTTGAATTCAAGATCCAATTAAGGGGACCAGCAGTTAGCGTAATGGCTATATCGCTGGACTCCCACATAGTCGACCGTGGTTTGAGTCACGGACCAGGCAGCTTAAAACTCACGCTGGGTGCATGTGTGTGTGTGCCCAAGATCCCAAGAGGAGAATGGAAGAGAAGGGACTGTGGCGTGGTCATCCCCCCTGGGGGGTGATTTCTCGCTTTCTGTCTCTCTGTCTCTCTCTGTCTTGCGAGCCCACGCCCCCTATAGCAAAAAAAAAAAAAAAAAAACTCTCAAAAAAAAGATCCAATTAAGGATCACCACTGCATAGAGCTGACCCTTGAACAATGAAGGTATTAGTGGTAGTGGTCCTGGTTGAAATCCATGAATAGTTTTTGACTCTTTCAAAATTTTACTAATAGCCTACTGCTGACTGGAAGCCTTATCAATAATATAAACGGTCAATCAACACATATTTTGTATGTTATATGTCTTATATAATATATTCTTACAAATAAAGTAAGCTAGAAAAATAAAATATTATTAAAATCATAAAGAGAAAATTCATTCATAACACTGTACTATATTTTCCAGCATAATTTTTGAAAAAAAATCCATAGGTAAGTTAATCCCCACACTTCACACTGGTGTTAATCCAGGGTCAGCTGTTTATTGTGAGATGTTTATAGTCTCTTTGATCATCAATGACTGATATTTTTGTAGAGTCCAGACCATCGCTTTGCATACTATTCCTCAGTTTGGATTGTCTGTTTCCACACAGCTAAACTCAGATTTTTAGCAGAGAAACAGATTGGAATGCTTTCCCCTTTTCATACATTAGAAAAAGCACAAAAACATTGGCTTAAATCTTTCCTTTTAATCATTTAATAACATTTTGTGATTAATTTCCACAAACTAAATTTAGTGTCATAGCAGTTTACAGAATGCTTTTGAGACCGATTAATTTACTCAATTTGCATTACAACCCAACAACCCATTGAGGTAGGGTTTTTTAATTACCTTTTTTGGAGGGGAGAAAGGGAAATTTTTCCAAGTTCACATAACCAGTAAGATAACTTCTATGGCCAAAATTTAAGTATAGGAATATCACAAATATCAGCCAAGAATAAGAAACCCTATATCGTCACATCAAATAACTCTAGACCTTTTTTTGTCTTTTGAAAACTGTGCTACTCATTATTCAAACCCTGAGATCTTACAGTTCCCATCACATTGTGTGAAAGTACAAGGTAGTATGACATTATGTCTTATCAAAACATTTTCCAATTACAGTATAAGAATGTGAAATTCTAATGGTTCAACCAGAAATAATGTAAAAGTGAATTATTGTAGGCTGCATTGAAAGTCAAGTAACTAGCTTTTCTTCATGTTTTTGTCTTTGCTTTTGGTGCAACTAATAAACCCAGGTTTTCTCCCAGGAATAAAATTTTATTTCACTGCCTTCTACTTCCCAAAACAATGAAAATAGTGTTCTGGGATGTAGTAATCAGCACTTTTTAAGAATTTCTTAGCATATTAAATTAGGTGGTAGTTTTACACTTTTTCCCCCCTTGGGCCTCATAATCCTAGTGTTTTTTTGTTTTTTTTGTTTTTTTTCATTTAGAATCAAGTAAAAAAGAAAAAGAAAAAAACTGGTAATATAAGTATGCAATTTGAGTCACAACTTGTACCATGAATCTCTAAGTAGGCATTCCAGCCAGAAAGAGAGCACACAGGTACTGAGGGGAGTAGAAGCCAGCCAACATTTATCGTAACACAGAAACTTAAAAAGCAGTACCACCCATGTCCAGGTAAAGGCGACTGTAGATGCTTATCTGGGTGGTATTGGACTCAGATATACTATGTAAATCATGTTGAGTTTAGAAAGATCTTGAAGAAAATAGGATGCTATTTCCCACTGATGAAAATCACTCTACTATCACCGGGAAGCCTCAACCTGAGATGCGAGATCAAGATCCATTTACTCCTTCATCCATGCTCAATTCCCTACTGCTCGGCGATTCTGCTATCTCATTTCAAAGTGAAAGAGTAATTTATTTAAAATGCCTGAATAATGAGTGTAATTTGATTGTCCTTGTCCAGTGTTCAATTTCATAAAGAAGTAGAGACAGAATTCTGAAAAGGAACACATTTTCTTTTTTTTTCAACTTTCACAGTGTTCTTTAAATGTAACATTATCTTCTTTCAAATCCTTATATTATACACTCCCTTAAGGAAAAAATCTATCACTTAATCCCAGGATCAGCATTATTCTTATTCTCCATTTGAATTATTTTTTTAGACCAAATATAGGCAAGGAAGCTACATTGATGATTATGCTTTGAATTTATAAATCCTGGCAAAACAGACAGTGGTAAGAGATGTTTCAATTGTGAAGTCTTTAATAGAACATGTATCATTCGTTTTTCCCCACTAATCCTCAACAGACTCCTATTATCTTCAAATAATAATGAGAGAGACAGGCTGCAGTTAATTTAATCACTGTAATTTCCTAAGAAATGAAGACTGATGTCAATTGAAAATTATTCCAATTATATTTTTGAACATGAGTTCAAAACTGTTAAAATTACTACTTTGACTAACATACTAACCTCCCTGAGCATAGTTATGCTCATAATCTTCCTCAAGCAGAGAATGACGAGTGCCCAATTTTTTATTCAATATAAATTCAACTTTGAGACAATTATTTTTAAAACTTTGCCCAAGTTAAACCCACTTCAGGTAAAGTCTGAGGCTTTTTAATACACCCCAAGAAGCAATTTCTCTACTTTAAAGGAAAAAAAAGGAGCCAAATCTATTTTATTATATTTCATAAAATCGAACTTGCAACCATTTTAAAATGAATAGACGATCAGTCGATGAAAGAGAGAGACGGCATCTCATAAAAACAGCACTGATTAGAGTAATAGCTGACATTCGTTAAGCTCTGCTCTTCCTGTAATTTGTAGGCCTGAGCTAAATGCTGCATGTGTGTTGATCATTTAGTTTACACGACCCTGTGAAGTTGGTACTGTCTTTACTCCCACCTTATAAATGGCGATAACTGTTCTTGCATCTGCTGCATGGGGTTGGCATCCTTTGCTCTGTGAACAGCTACCACGCTGCTGCTCATTGGTGGCTGCTGTGCTGCTCCCAACCACCTCTGGACATCCCCATCTCTACCCCCCTACACACACCTCTTTCTGTTTATTGCTTTGTTGAGGACTTTCCATAGTGACACACACTTTCCTCTGAGTGTAGCTTGGCTGACAGAAAGCAAAGGACAGTCTGGGTCAGCCACCTCTGTGCTGAGCCGCTGCCTCCCACCTCCCACGCTGCCAAACCTACCGGCTCATCTCTGCTTTTCTAGGGGCCCACAGCTGTCCCTGCAGTTGGGCTCCTTTGGGGGCCTCCAATCCATCAGTTAAATCTGTGTGTATCTAAACCCACACAAGTGCAGAAAAGCTTAGCTCCTCTTCCCCAGGGCTCCTGTGCACCTGGTCATGTCTCTAAGTCCAGAACTTTCTGAAACAGTTGGGCAGTTCACCAAACACACCCATGCAGCCAGGAGACAACCCTGCCA